TAATTTTATATTACATCCGAAAGTATCTGTATAAAAAAGCAGTTCAAAAATTTTTTTTTAAAAAAGCAAAAATTAAATAATTTATTTATAAAATTCTGCAAAATTATGGTAAAGGATTATGGATTTTTTTTTTTTATGAATAATCAAAAAAAATTAAAAAATTAAAAAAAATGGAGTATGTGACAAATTATAGACATAAATTTAAGGTTTTTTATATTAATTTTTAAATTATAATTTTTTTTTTTGTATTTTTGGCAAATTTTCCCAAAGATTATCACGTTGAGTTTGATTCTAAAAGATACGTGGCGGATATCTAGAGAGGGGAGAGAAGGAGCTCGTGGTCGTCGTCAATGGAGATTTCTGCGTCTGCTTCTCTATCTTCCTCTGGATTCGTTCCTCGTCTTCTTCCATTGTTCTATCCTCAAATTCAAACTACTACTTCCTCCAAACCTTTACCGTCTTCTTCCTCCGTTAGACTCATTTCTTCTCACAGACGTACAGCTCCGTCTCGGTGTCTCTCCGATCAGTCTGCGTTTACCGGTTAGTCTCCAAGCCCTAATTTGGAATTTAAGAGATGCAATTTTCCCAACAATTGTTTCAAATTGCTTATGTAACAAGTGTTCGACGATATGTCAAATGCTGAATTAGTCATATTTCTACTGTTTTTTGTAGTGATTCTCTCTCTCGCATTGATGCTCTGAGTAATGGCTGTTCGAGAAAACGAAGAATTTGTATTAAGTTTTTTACCTGATTGATACATTTCTCACAGGGGTTATCTTTTGGGTTTGTTGTTTTTGTTGGATAGGGACCAATGTTCTTGATTCGGATCCCATTGATGTTGTTAAGGTGAGAGTTTTCAAAGAACCAACTTTACAAATGTAACCAGATTTTGCTTCCTCTTAGTTTAACAATTTCCGAATCAAACACAGAGGAAAGCTATGGACATAGCCCCTGAACTCAAAGGAGCTTCAATATTTCTGGTTGGTAAGGCTGTCTTTGCTAATTTTTCAAAGTAACTGTGTACTTACATATGGACGGACACTGATGTGTGAGCTACGACAATCTGGTGTAGGGATTAATAACCCCATTAAAACAAAGTTGGGGAAGCTTTTGGCTGACTCATTACGATATTACTACTTTGATAGGTACACACTCGTAAGAACGTCAGTCTATTTTTATAGTTCTTTTGTAACCCGTACACGGGATTTCTTACGGTAACTTATCTGCACCTATCTTTGTTTCAATCCAATTTACAATACGTATAAGGTACTTGTGGAATCAATCTAGTTTCTTAGCTTATCCAAGCACTAGTGCTAAACACTAGGGTTTATCACCTTTATTCTTCTTCTCCTCTCGATAAATTCACATTGGATAGTCTTAAGTCCCTAACTTTGGTCTACTCTTTATTGTGTAGTGATAATTTGATCGCAGAGGCGGCTGGTGGAAATGTGTCTGCTCAAGCTTTAAAGGAAGCTGATGAGAAGGCTTTTCAGGAATCAGAGGTAAACTCAATGGTTTGACCTGCATTTTTATCGTACAAATGCATTCTCTGCCACATAATGGTTTTGGACGATTACACTTCCAACATGTTTCTGCAGACTGAAGTGCTAAAGCAGCTATCATCTATGGGTCGGCTTGTCGTTTGTGCTGGAGATGGTGCGGTCCAGAGCTTGACAAATCTGTAAGTTCTATAAAAGTTGCAGTAATTTCTTCCTATCAGTTTCAGCTTCTAGAAGACATACACACACACACACTAGGATTTAATATTTCTCCAGCAAAATTTGCCTCTCATGTTTGTTCTCATTTGATCTTAAATATATGAACAGTGCACTTTTAAGACACGGGATCTCCATATGGATCGATGTTCCTGTGGATATCGCAGCTAAAGGAGATTCATTAAACTCAGAACTTTCCCCTGAGGTCTTTCTTCTTTCTTTCCAGTGAACTGCTTAAAGTTTTTGTTGGCATTATAACAAAGAAACTGACTTCAATGATGGATGGTACAGTTGTTTGAAGCGCTAAAAGCGAGTTACGAGAAATCAAGAAAGGGTTACGATACAGCAGATGTATCCATTTCCCTTGAAAGTAAGGATTTATTCACAAGTCCATAATAATATCCTTGGTTAGGTAACTTCATTTGATGACTGATGATATTTTTGCTCATGGTAACAGGAATAGCTACAAAGCTGGAATGTGAAGACTTGGAAACAGTAACATCTCAAGACATTGCTCTGGAGGTAAGTCTTGATTAAGCAAGCCTTATGATATTTCTTAATTTCGACTTATGATTACAAATGTGGAAAGTTTTCTGAAACAATGTTGTTCAGGTCTTGAAAGAAATCGAGAAGTTGACCAGAGTGAAGAAAATGATGGAAGAAGCTTCTCGACCTTTCTAGGTCGATTTTTACTCTCTCATTCATGCATAGCAAAATCTGTCAATTTCTTAGGTTTTTTGTAAAGGTCATATGATTGATTATATTGTATCATGATGGACATCAAAATGGAGTATTTTGCATAAATAATTTGAAGAAAAACTACAATGACGTGTGTGGTGGAGGAGAATCATCATCATCAATCGTCTCCGTCACGTGAGATCACGTGTTGGGCTTATTCTTTTGATCCACTAATATGTGGGCCCAAATTCATGGCCCACTAAGGGATAAGAATGTGAAACAGAGAAAAGGCGAAAAAGCTCTTCGCTTTCTTGTCTCTCCATTTTTTTCCTTTATTTTAAATGAATTAATTTTTTAATTACTCACTTTTTTTTTTCTGTTCGTTCTTGGTCAGAATCAGTGTTCGGTGTCGGTATTATTTACGGTGAAAAAACAATAAAAACGGTAAAGCTTCATAGATTATTAACGTAATAAAAAATGCGTGTAATTTGAGTTTTAAAATAATTAATCAAAATCTGTATAGATCTTATTATTAACGGGAAAATAATGTTTAATCTGGGAAATTCGTATCTCGATAAAACAAAAAATGTACTATATTTTAATTAGAAGAAAAAAGGAGAGCGATAGTAATGGCGATGAGTAATTTTGATTTGTTTATAAGACAGACGAAAGATAAGGGAAGAAGAGGTACCTCTGCTTCTTCTTCTTTCTCTCACCCCCACCAGAGA